CGCATTAACCACTGGACGGATTGGGCTGAAATTTGGCATCATGATAGGTCACATTCCCGATTAACATATAGGCATATTCTTATCTCAAAGATCCTTTCGGGCTCCGCCCCAGTAGCTCTGTAGTTCTCCATGTTAACCTTATGAGTATTCATATTTAAAGAGAATTAAAGAATTTAGTCAGCTGTTTCAACTGAAAAAGTTGGTTCTATGATTTGCAAAATCATTAAAAAGTTATAATATTTACCAACAGGGTGCAGCACTATTATTTTTTTGCATTTATGAAAACAGCTTATTTGAACTGAGCAGCAGTAAAAAACTGTGATAAGCAATGAGAACTGTCAAAGTAGGATTGTTTACAGTTATGTTTATTTTTTTTTATTTCATGAATAATTAGTGATATTTATCAATTTTTTTATTATTTGTTTTTATCTATTGTTTAAGTGAAGTGGTATAACAATGATGACTATTGTATATGTGTCATACTATAGTATACTGTAAATTTAAAGAAGCAAATTTTATCAAACTGTGTCCTCCCCTATTGCAAACGCAAAGCTTGAGTATAACTGGAATAATCATTTTATACTTATAAGCCAACCCCGTACGAAGGACGGGTATGACTTCTAGTATATATATATATATATTTATATATTTGTCCGTTAGCGCGATAACTCGAGCAAAAATGATCCGATTTTGATGAAATTGGGTACAAACGTGTAAACCTATGTTTATTCGAACAAGTTCGCGAACCAGCATAATCGGACCATGGGAACAGGGGTTTATGGGGTAAAAATGGGTTTATCGCATTTTTTACCTTAAAAACAAAAAATTTTGCAATTTCTTTCTCAACCATTTTGTAGAGCTTAAAAAAAGAAATAATTTAGTATATTGAAGCGCTGTTGTATGCCTAACCGTCACGGAGAAAATTAAAAAAAGTGTAATTTAAAATTCCCATGTTATTCTTATGGAGAAAATGGAAACTGTTGTAGTTTACTTGTTTATGGATATATATTTATAAAATTTGGCAAATTTATTTATTTCATCCTATACTATTGACATATAGTCAAAAAACACTTTTTACCTTCCCCGCAGCAGCAAACCTAAGCACTTGTTAAATCTAATGTTATTTAAATTGGGAATAAATATGTCTTATTTATGGAAATATTTTTGTAAAAATGTAATCAGACAAGTTGAAATTCGCTTAGTCTGCAGGTTTGCTGCGGCGGGGGTATTATTAGTATGAAACGTGACATGTCCCCAAGTCATATATCTCTTTTAAATGAAAATCTCACTAAAGAGACATGGACATTTATAGATAGTTTTCTATCAACAGAAGAAGCTTTTAATGCATTTAATAAAGTTTTAATTTATAATCTTGATGTAGCCTGTCCATTAAAAAAATTTAGAAAGAAAAGAAAGAATACAAAGAATTCCTGGATCACCCAAGGAATTCTGGTTTCACGACAAAAGATAAAATCTTGTTCTCTGATATATAAAACAACCAGCGATGAGCAATTCAAAATATTTTTTAAAAGATACAAACAAATTTATAGGAAGGTTATTAAAGCAGCAAAGGCTTATGCTATCAATAAGAAAATAAAAAATTCAGAGAACGTCTCAAAAACAATATGGAGTATTATCAACAATATAAAAAATGATAAAAAAGTCAATCCAATTGCACTAAACGTCAATGGAGACCTTGTGAATAACCCAGAGGATGTTGCCAATGCTTTCAATATTTTTTTCCAGTCAGTTGGCGAATGTAACTTAAAACAAAATGCAACACCTCTTAACAGTCATTTCTGGCCCACTCCGGTATCATCAATGATTTTAGCTCCTGCCAGTGAGATTGAGGTTGCACGTGTCATTCATGATCTTCCATAAAAAAAATCTGACGATATTAATGGCATGTCAATGTGGACAGTTAAGCAAATCTATCTGCCAATACTGATCCCATTGACAAAACTCATCAATCTGTCACTTCAGTCAGGAACTTTCCCATCTGCATTGAAAATTTCAAAAGTCATTCCAATATATAAAAAAGATGATCCACAAATTTTAAATAATAACCGCTCAATCTCAATCTTACCAGTTATGAGTCAAATATTTGAGAGGATCTTTCTCACTAGGCTTCAAAACTTTTTGGAAAAACATAATATTATCTCAGAAAATCAATATGGATTTAGTCAAGGAAAATCCACGATAGACGCTGTAAATAAATTTATTGAAGATGTCATTGAAGGACTAGAGAATCGAAAAAAGACACTTTGTGTCTTCATCGATCTTTCAAAGGTGTTTGATTGTGTTGATCACGACATACTGTTAAGGAAACTGGAGCTCTGCGGCATCCGTGGAGTCCCACTTATGTGGCTTAGATCTTACCTCGAAGGTAGGACCCAGTACGTACAGGTGTCGACTTGCAGATCAAAGACCTTAAGGGTCTGTCAAGGGGTCCCACAGGGTTCAATCCTTGGTCCAGTTTTGTTCTTAATTTATGTTAATGACCTCCGCTCCTCTATGGACGGTGGAAAAGTCATACAATATGCAGATGACACGACTCTCTATTTTCAATCAGAATCCCAAGAAACTCTTGAAGTTGAAAGTTTTATCAATTTGAACGCATGCATCCAAAAGTTTCAGTCCGAAAATTTAAACACGAATCAGTAAAAAACTACGTACATAAATTTTTCCCTTCGTCACCGTGACGACGAGACAACGCCAACTGTAATGATGGATGAAACCTGCCTGAAAGAGGTTGATTCCACAAAGTTCTTAGGGATGCACTTGGATAGAGTGCTGAACTGGCAAGATCATGTAGATAGCATCTGTCCAAAAATTGCAAAAGGGGTTTTTGCTTTGCGTAATCTCAAGCCTTTATGTTCAACACAAGTTTTGGTCATGGCCTATTATGGCCTCATTCATCCCCATCTTTCCTACGGATTAAGATTGTGGGGGGGGGGGTTGTGCCAGACAAAATTTTAACAGGGCATTTAAGCTTCAAAAAAGAGCCATCAGATTAATTGCAAATCTGAGGCGGAGAGATTCGTGTAGACAAGCTTTCAGGGAGCTTGGAATTTTGACCCTACCTTCCATGTATATGTTGGAAACGGCTGTATACTGCCGGTTTCAACATGTGCCTATCCAAGGCACTGATGTGCACAGCCACGGGACTAGAGCAAGGGAAAGTTTTCGCACTGTCCAACACCGAACAGCTGCATTTAAGAAACTTCCTTCTCAAGTAGGTGTCAGGCTCCTTAACTGTCTTCCTGAAAGGCTTAAACGTCTGGAAAGTTCCCTTCTATTCAAAACGAAACTGAAGCGTGACTTGAAAAATCAGGCGTTCTATTCGGTTGATGAGTTCACTGCACACCGTTGGAGTTAAGGGCCACAGTATTAATTATATTCCCCAGGGGTTATGAGTTAAATATTTTAAGGTTTTGTTGATAAATGTATAATGTTTTTTAGTTTTCCTCCATTTCTTAAATGTATTGATTAATTTGTTTAAAGTTAAAATTAAATTTAAAGTGTAATTTTATAAAATAACCTCTATGTAATTATAAATATTAAAATCACGCAATGTAAAAATGCTACACAATGTAAAAATTTTAAAGAGCAATAAATAAATAAACAGTAGTAGATGTTATGGTTGGCAGGTGCTGTGTGGCCTAGAACACTTGCATTACCAGGGACTGGTGTACAGAGACTGCAAGCCTGAGAACATCTTGTTGTAAAAGTTTATCTTTGGATGGTTATATTACAGTAGTGGATATTATGGTTGACAGGTGCTGTGTGTCCTAGAACATCTTGTTGTAAAAGTTTATCTTCGAATGGAGATATTGCAGTTGTAGATGTTATGGTTGACAGGTGCTGTGTCGCCTAGAACACTTGCATTACCAGGGACTGGTTGGTGTACAGAGCCTGCAAGCCTGAGAACATCTTGTTGTAAAAGTTTATCTTTGGATGGTTATATTACAGTAGTAGATGTTATGGTTGACAGGTGCTGTGTGGCCTAGAACACTTGCATTACCAGGGACTGGTTGGTGTACAGAGACTGCAAGCCTGAGAACATCTTGTTGTAAAAGTGTATCTTTACAGTAGTAGATGTTATGGTTGACAGGTGCTGTGTGGCCTAGAACACTTGCATTACCAGGGACTGGTTGGTGTACAGAGACTGCAAGCCTGAGAACATCTTGTTGTAAAGGTTTATCTTTGGATGGTTATATTACAGTATTAGATATTATGGTTGACAGGTGCTGTGTGTCCTAGAACATCTTGTTGTAAAAGTTTATCTTTGGATGGTTATATTACAGTAGTAGATATTATGGTTGACAGGTGCTGTGTGTCCTAGAACATCTTGTTGTAAAAGTTTATCTTTGAATGGAGATATTGCAGTTGTAGATGTTATGGTTGACAGGTGCTGTGTGGCCTAGAACACTTGCATTACCAGGGACTGGTGTACAGAGACTGCAAGCCTGAGAACATCTTGTTGTAAAGGTTTATCTTTGGATGGTTATATTACAGTAGTAGATATTATGGTTGACAGGTGCTGTGTGTCCTAGAACATCTTGTTGTAAAAGTTTATCTTTGGATGGTTATATTACAGTAGTAGATGTTATGGTTGACAGGTGCTGTGTGGCCTAGAACACTTGCATTACCAGGGTCTGGTGTACAGAGACTGCAAGCCTGATAACATCTTGTTGTAAAAGTTTATCTTTGGATGGTTATATTACAGTAGTAGATGTTATGGTTGACAGGTGCTGTGTGGCCTAGAACACTTGCATTACCAGGGTCTGGTGTACAGAGACTGCAAGCCTGATAACATCTTGTTGTAAAAGTTTATCTTTGGATGGTTATATTACAGTAGTCAATGTTATGGTTGGCAGGTGTTGTGTGGCCTAGAACACTTGCATTACCAGGGTAGAGACTGCAAGCCTGATAACATCTTGTTGTAAAAGTTTATCTTTGGATGGTTATATTACAGTAGTAGATGTTATGGTTGACAGGTGCTGTGTGGCCTAGAACACTTGCATTACCAGGGACTGGTGTACAGAGACTGCAAGCCTGAGAATATCTTGTTGGATGACACTGGACATGTGAGAATCTCAGATTTGGGGCTGGCTGTGGAGATTCCAGAGGGGGAAATGGTCAGAGGCAGAGTTGGTACTGTGGGATATATGGGTGCGTATTTATACTAATAGTTAATAATATTAGGTGGTTGATTACTGTATATATCTTTCCTGTGTCAAGTGAAAATAAAAGATACCGGTACACAATAGTATGTCACAAAACATAACACTGCCATTTAATCCAAATCTGGCTTTCTCTTCAGTCTACTTAAGTCTAATATCAGCATGAAATATGAATGTTACGTTTTTAGACAGTTTTATCAATTTATTATGTATCTATTAGCCCTTGGACTTTAATAATTTTCTCATGTAAGCTAGCTGCCCTCTTTTCTTAAAAAAACAACTAATAACTAGTAAAAAGTTAACTGAACTAAGATCTTGTTGTATAAAATACGACACAAATATGACAGCACAGATTTAAACATCAGTAAACATCACACTATTGCTGTCTTACATACAGTAGAACCTCGATTACCCTTGAGCTACCGGGCGGCGGATCAAATGGGGTCACTTTATTATTATATATATTATACGTTAAAATTATCCATTAAATCACGGTATAATCACCATAATATACCAATATTGAACAGATAAAACCATTAGAATGCCAAAAAGTATCAATCAGGGATGATTAACATATTGATATTGCATTAAAATATACTTTAATATTGTATTTAACAAGAATAACAATGAATATCACACGTTAATACAAAAAATATGGACAGTCTGTAGATCAAATACATTAATTAACAGTTATTTGTTTTTGTTTAGAGAAACATATCTTTTTGATTGTACTTTCATGTTTTGTAACACTAATTCATCTGAAATATATTCTGAGGGGTAAGAGGAGAGCTACATATTTGGCTACAGGCCCCGGCTGTAGTCGAGTCATTTGTAGTTTGTTGTTTATATCCTACCATACTTCCTTCTGAGAGAAAAAACCCTGCAGTTATAAAAACATTGACCTACAGTTTGATAAGAAAACACTATCTTGTGTTAGGAATTAGTAATGTTTTTGTTTGTATTTTATTTTACTAATTTTTTATTTATTCCTGGAATGATTAACTGTTAACAAAGTTAATCTGATTATGGTTACAGTAGTTGGTTGGACTTAAATAATGTTGTAAAACAATCTTAGGAAGAATACACAAATAATTCTTAAAATTGTATTTTTATTCTTAATAACAACATAATGACCCATTCAAATCTTTCGGCCCCTCATAGATAGGCCAACACAGAAGACGGCCACAAACAATACTGTTTTCGATTTGCTTTTATATTAGTCCCTTTGCGGGAAATAAAATCAAAGCAGAACAAAGAAGACAGCTCAAACATTACGTCAGAGATTGAGCTGACAATCGCCTGTCTGTTTGCTTACACATCTGTCCGCAATGCACTATGTCTCAACAGAAATCATTGGTTTGGACGTACGACGACTTTACAGCAGTCTATGGTTGGCCAGTTACCATGGCAACTCGATGACTGCGTGCCCGGGTCTGGTTATAAGAGAAACCAAGAAAGATTAGGGGAACCAAGAATCGCGAATAGAGACTTACGATGAGTGTGATTGGCAACAGCCAAACAGCTGGTGTTGCTTTGCTATCACACCTTTATTAATTTCTCCATTTCACTATGTTTCTAATTATGATTTCGTTTCAATAAAGGAACATCCACTCTTTCATTTATCGATTAATTTAAGTCTTCTGTTTCAATTCCTTTTCCATACTCCATTTATTACAGGTAAAACGGCACGTAGGCTAGTTGCCTAGAAGACTGTCTTCTGTTTAGTTCGTTTACCGTTTACGTAATTAGCACTGATTTTATTGAAGTTAATAAAGTTAATAAAACCAGGGTTTAACTGAACTTAACACGTTCGCTACTGCAATATTACAAAATTTTTCATTCACATGGACCAGCGAGGCACATATGCAACGGCCGGTTTCCACTCATAGACTGCCGTCGCATATATGCGACGGTTAGTCACATTAAAATAGACTGCCGTCGCATATTTGCGTCGGGGTTCTAATGTTATTAAAATGCTTATATCTTTGTAACGGTCTATTTGAAGGCACTGAATTCCCTGCAGTGGTCTACAGAGATGTCTGACGCACAACTGTGTCGCTTCGTCTGTGGACATGATGACTGGTGACGTCATAATGATAGTTGAAAAAACTGGTCTTTACTTTTCTGCATCCCTGTGTGTATGTATGCTGCATTATCCTATGTAGCTTTTATATTTGTTCATTTATAAACTGTTCTTGAATAATCTGTTTTGTTTACATTACTTTCACCTCAAAACACAAACAAAAATGAACTGTCACATGAATGCGACGTTTAGTCTATTTCAAGAAAACTATGATCATTTTCACTATTGTCTTCGCTGTAGACCGGGCGTCGCAAATATGCGACATTATGTAATCAACCTTAAAGTTAAGAATATAATGGAAACTCCATGTACAGTATTGAAACTTAAATTGATTTAATTAAAATACAAAATTGATGGTAAAAGAAAAGAAAGGGTTCACAATAAAGTTTACAAAGAGTGGGAATGAATTTACCAGTTAACACGTTCGCTACTGCAATAGTACGAAATTTTCCATTAGGGATGGACGGGATTGAATTTTTAGTTCGGGACGGGACGGGATGGGATTTTTATTTCCTTCCCGATTTTCGGGACGGGACGGGACGGGATTTTTTTCTGTGCATGAAAAGAAAGTACTGTATTGCAGTTACCAAAAGAGACATACGAAATCAATTTTTACCATTTGTGGCACTGATCTATAAAAACCAAAAAAATGGGTAACCTATAGAAACTTGTGACTCGCGGGTCACGGGGTGATCGTCTGTATGACTCACGGTCACGGCGCGATCGTCGTCATGACTCGCGGTCACGGCGCGATCGTCGGTATGACTCCACGGTCACGGCGCGATCGTCGTCATGACTCGCGGTCACGGCACGATCGTCGGTATGACTCGCGGTCACGGCGCGATCGTTGGTATGACTCCGCGGTCACGGGGTTATCGTCGGTATGACTCCACGGTCACAGCGCGATCGTCGTCATGACTCGAGGTCACGACGCGATCGTCGGTATGACTCGCGGTCAGGGCGCGATCGTCGTCATGACTCGCGGTCACGGCGAGATCGTCGTCATGACTCGCGGTCACGGCGCGATCGTCGTCATGACTCGCGGTCACGACGCGATCGTCGGTATGACTCGCGGTCACGGCACGATCGTCGGTATGACTTCGCGGTCACGGGGTTATCGTCGGTATGACTCCACGGTCACGGCACGATCGTCGGTATGACTCGCGGTCACGGCGCGATCGTTGGTATGACTCCGCGGTCACGGGGTTATCGTCGGTATGACTTCGCGGTCACGGGGCTATCGTCGGTATGACTCCACGGTCACGGCGCGATCGTCGTCATGACTCGCGGTCACGGCACGATCGTCGGTATGACTCGCGGTCACGGCGCGATCGTCGGTATGACTCCGCGGTCACGGGGTTATCGTCGGTATGACTCCGCGGTCACGGCGCGATCGTCGGTATGACTCGCGATCACGGGTCGATCGTCAGCATGACTCCGCGGTCACGGCGCGATCGTCGGTAGGACTCCGCGGTCACGGTGCGATCGTCGGTAGGACTCCGCGGTCACGGTGCGATCGTCGGTAGGACTCCGCGGTCACGGCGCGATCGTCGGTATGACTCGCGGTCACGGTGCGATCGTCGGTAGGACTCCGCGGTCACGGCGCGATCGTCGGTAGGACTCCGCGGTCACGGCGCGATCGTCGGTAGGACTCCGCGGTCACGGCGCGATCGTCGGTATGACTCGCGGTCACGGCGCGGGCGTCGGTAGGACTCCGCGGTCACGGCGTAATCGTCGACATGACTTCGTCTCCTGCGTTCGCGGACCTGTCGCTCGCAATAACGGCGTTATCGGCACTCGCGAAGCGGAAAAATCGCCGACGATCGGACCAAATCCCGTCCCGAAAAATTCCCGAGTCAAATGTAATCCCGTCCCGGTCCCGATAATCGAGAATATTTTTTTCCCGAAAAATTCCCGAAATTTCGGGACCCGTCCATCCCTATTTTCCATTCACATGGACCAGCGACGCACATATGCGACGGCCGGTTTCCACCCATAGACTGCCGTCGCATATATGCGACGGCTAGTCACATTAAAATAGACTGCCGACGCATATATGCGTCGGGGTTCTAATGTTATTAAAATGCTTATATCTTTGTAGTGGTCTATTTGAAGGCACTGAATTCCCTGCAGTGGTCTACAGAGATGTCTGACGCACAACTGCGTCGCTTGGTCTGTGGATATGATGATTGGTGACGTCATATAACAGTTAGAAAAACTGGCTTTTACTTTTCTGCATCACTGTATGTATGTATGCAGTACGTATGCTGCATTATCCTATGTAGCTTTTATATTTGTTCAGTTATAAACTGTTCTTGAATAATCTGTTTATTTTTTTACTTACTTTCACCTTAAAACACAAAAAAATGAACTGTCGCATATATGCAACGCTTAGTCTATTTCAAGAAAACTATGATAATTTTCACTATTGTCTTCGCTGTAGACCGGGCGTCGCAAATATGCGACATTACTAAAGGTTATAAAAAATACAAAAAACAAGAATAATTTATATACAAACACGATTGTAGCGTATTACAATGTAAATGATCACTGTTTTACAGGTTTTCGCCCGTGGTCTGTGTGTACTGTTATCCAAGTGACAGCCGGTCTGTGTGTAAGATTCAAATGTATACCTCGGTCTGTGGCAATGACCGCGGCGTCGCATATATGCGACGCTCAGTAGCGAACGTGTTAAAGCTTTAGGCTAAGCCTATTACAATTGTTCTAATTTAGGTTCAGGTTTTTGCCCGTAGTCTGTGTGTACTGTTAACCAAGTGACAGCCGGTCTATGCGTAAGATTCAAATGTATACCTCGGTCTGTGGCAATGACCGTGGCGTCGCTTATATGCGACGCTCAGTAGCGAACGTGTTAAAATATAATTTTCTTTAGTTACTGTGTTTATTGG